AAGAGTAAGACGGAGAATAGGATAGCAGATGAACAAGGAGGCTTTAGGAAAGGTAGGGGGTGTGTGGACCAGGTGTTTACAGTGAAACATATAAGTGAACAGTATTTAGATAAGGCTAAAGAGGTCTTTGTGGCATTTATGGATTTGGAAAAGGCGTATGACAGGGTGCATAGGGGGGCAGTGTGGCAGATGTTGCAGGTGTATGGTGTAGGAGGTAGGTTACTGAAAGCAGTGAAGAGTTTTTACGAGGATAGTGAGGCTCAAGTTAGAGTATGTAGGAAAGAGGGAAATTATTTCCCAGTAAAAGTAGGCCTTAGACAAGGATGTGTGATGTCACCGTGATTGTTTAATATATTTATAGATGGGGTTGTAAGAGAAGTAAATGCGAGGGTCTTGGCAAGAGGCGTGGAGTTAAAAGATAAAGAATCACACATAAAATGGGAGTTGTCACAGTTGCTCTTTGCTGATGACACTGTGCTCTTGGGAGATTCTGAAGAGAAGTTGCAGAGATTGGTGGATGAATTTGGTAGGGTGTGCAAAAGAAGAAAATTGAAAGTGAATACAGGAAAGAGTAAGGTTATGAGGATAACAAAAAAAGATTAGGTGATGAAAGATTGGATATCAGATTGGAGGGAGAGAGTATGGAGGAGGTGAATGTATTCAGATATTTGGGAGTGGACGTGTCAGCGGATGGGTCTATGAAAGATGAGGTGAATCATAGAATTGATGAGGGGAAAAGGGTAAGTGGTGCACTTAGGAGTCTGTGGAGACAAAGAACTTTGTCCTTGGAGGCAAAGAGGGGAATGTATGAGAGTATAGTTTTACTAACGCTCTTATATGGGTGTGAAGCATGGGTGATGAATGTTGCAGCGAGGAGAAGGCTGGAGGCAGTGGAGATGTCATGTCTGAGAGCAATGTGTGGTGTGAATATAATGCAGAGAATTCGTAGTTTGGAAGTTAGGAGGAGGTGCAGGATTACCAAAACTGTTGTCCAGAGGGCTGAGGAAGGGTTGTTGAGGTGGTTCGGAATGTGGAGAGAATGGAGCGAAACAGAATAACTTCAAGAGTGTATCAGTCTGTAGTGGAAGGAAGGCGGGGTAGGGGTCGGCCTAGGAAAGGTTGGAGGGAGGGGGTAAAGGAGGTTTTGTGTGCGAGGGGCTTGGACTTCCAGCAGGCATGCGTGAGTGTGTTTGATAGGAGTGAATGGAGACAAATGGTTTTTAATACTTGACATGCTGTTGGAGTGTGAGCAAAGTAACATTTATGAAGGGGTTCAGGGAAACCGGCAGGCCGGACTTGAGTCCTGGAGATGGGAAGTACAGTGCCTGCACTCTGAAGGAGGGGTGTTAATGTTGCAGTTTAAAAACTGTAGTGTAAAGCACCCTTCTGGCAAGACAGTGATGGAGTGAATGATGGTGAAAGTTTTTCTTTTTCGGGCCACCCTGCCTTGGTGGGAATCGGCCAGTGTGATAATAAAAAAAAAAAATAATTCACCCCTTTCGCAACATTAGCTTCCATGATTTCTTTTCTCTTTGCCACAATAGAGCTGATGGTTGATGGCGCTTTCCCATACATCCTGCCAAGTTCAGCAATGCGTATGCCACTTTCATATTTTTGAACGATTTCTTTTTTTCATTTCTATGGTGTTCTTCACTTTCTTTACCAAAGGACTGGCACTAGGAGCTTTCTTTGGGGCTATGGTGGCTTATTTAGCATTCACACAATAAACAAGTACCAAAAACAATGGATTATTACAAAATGTTCCATATGACCTCGCAGGATATGTTCACTTACCGAGAAACAACGCAACACTCCCTGAGAATGCGTGTAGGAGGCTGCTTTGTCTGTGCGCTGGGCACTGGACAGGTTCTGTACCATTGACGAAAATGGAGGAAATTGATGAAAATGGAACCAACATTTTGATGAAAAAAGTTGGCGAAAATGGAAATTGGCGATAACAGAGATCGATGAAAAGGGAGGGCCCACGGCACAAGCATATATATACACACCCCTCTGGGTTATCTTTTATTTCCTTACTAGTTCTTGTTTATTTCCTCTTATCTCCATGGGAAAGTGGAACAGAATTCTTCCTCTGTAAGCCATGTGTGTCGTAAGAGGTGACTAAAATGCCGGGATCGAGGGGCTAGTAACCCCTTCTCCTGTATAAATTACTAAATTTAAAAAGAGAAATTTTAGTTTTTCTTTTTGGGCTACTCTGCCTCGGTGGGATATGGCCGGTTTGTTGAAAGAATAATAATAATTAGGTTTTAACCCTTAACCCTTTCAGGGTCGACAGGCCCTCTCAGAGCCTTGTTCTCAGGGTCGGCCAAATTTAAAAAAAAAAAATTATTTTTCTTATGAAAATATAGAAAATCTTTTCCTGAGCATAATGACACCAAAAATATGAAATTTGATGGAAAACTTAGGGAATTATGCTCTCGCGAAGTTAGCGGTCTCGACGATGTTTACGCATCGGCGATTTTGCCCACTTTGAGCCCTATTTTCGGCCAATTCCAGTGTACTTGTCGACAAAAATCATAACTATTTTGCTAGAACTCCATTTTTTCTATCGAATGAGTACAAGAAACCACCCATTTACTGATTTCAACTATCCAATACAGTGGTCAGAATTAAGCAATTTTGCCAATTTCACACAAATTTCAAAAGATGCCAATTTCCGAATAAGATCCAGAATAAACAAGAAAGACATTCCTGGCACTAAAATAACATTTCCTCTCTTCATTAGTCATGTCCCCAGGCCCCTCTTACATTCTTTTGCTTTCCACTTTGAATTTTTATTCTCACAAAAAAAAATAGAAGATTTACTGTTAGGCAGACTACTGCATTGGTGTAGAAATGGTATAAATATTATCAGCGCACTTGTGAAAGAATATTAAACTCACCAGTTGACGTGTATTGGACGCATAGCATGATTTGTTTACTTTTGAACTTTGGTAAAAATCGAACATTTCTGCTAATTTGAGCGCAAATTCCAAAGTTGTTTTCTTTGTAAAACCAGTCAAAATCATCTCAATTTTTGTAATATGTCTTCCATTCTATAAAATGAGACCAGTAAAACTAGAATACAACAATAAATACCATACGAAAATACAGTGCAAAGTCGTTGTTTTAATCCAAAAACATGGTCAAAGTTTTTTTTTTCCTCATTACGCACTGTGTGCTGCAGGATTTTTTTATACTGCGCACACTGACCACATAGACCCATTCTTTCATATGTAGGCCTACCAGCTTTCTCACTAGATTTGAGGGCGCTAGAATTTAGGCATACTAGTACGTCAAAAACCCTGGTGCCTAAGCCATACTAGTACGTCCGAAACCCTGAAAGGGTTAAACTGTCCAAACATAGATCTACGTTCGGAGCCCTACGTGAACGAACATAGATCTACTTTTTTTTTTTTTTTTTTTTGCATTCTTTCTTATGGGGAAAATCAAGGTCGGAGCACTACAGGTGAAAACGTAGATCTACTTTTGGAGAGTTTAAGGGTTAATCATTTGAATTTCAAAGTAAAATACATAGTACAGTACATACTTATAAAGACTAAAGGATCACAGCAGAAGATCTAATTGCCCATATGAAGCTTGTGTATCTTTCCAATTTGCGATATTTTTAATGTATTTGTTCCAGTGATAGACTGACACTGCCCACCAGTTTGTTCCCTTCATATGGAACTATTGCTAAATGAATGCTTTTTTTTTTTTTAACCTTATTGGCTGTCTCCAAAGGAAACAATTTTTCATTCATTCATTCATTCATTCACTTGCTGTCTTACCAGAAGTTTGCTGGCATCACATTTCAGATGACCTTCCCACTACAAAATCTCCTCTCTTCCTTCAGGGTGCAGGTACTACCCTTCCTACTTAGAGAACTCAAGTCTGGCTAACTGATTTTCCTGAATCCCATTTCATTTATAGTATATGATTAAAGATAAGTTTTAAAGGATAGTTTCCATAGAAAACCTTAAGTTGCACGTTTATATATCATATGCCTCCAGCAAAAGCATGCCCATTTCCATTAAGGATCATGAGATCAGAATTCATTTCTATTGGAAAGTCCATTTCCATTAAGAAGTGCAGTGTCAGGCAGGCCTGAGACCCTCCAGTATGCATTAGGCAACTCCATTGTCTTTGCACTGTGGGGGAAGGTATGAGGGAGAGTGATGGGATGTAAACAAACCAGCTTCCCATGCGAGTCACTGTATCAGAATGTGTATCATGTGATTTTAGCTTGGTACACATCGCTCAGCTTTTCCTTCTTTTCATCACTCCATCTGGATATTTATCATGGCTTCCAAAAGAAGTGCAGGTGATGCTGGTGAAACTAGGAAGAAGATTAAGCCTGAAATTTTGCCTACTACAAAAAAAAATAGAGATAATTGAAATTCTGAAGGGTGGTGCACACATTATGGAAATGCCATAAATATTTGGTGTTAGAGAATCAATGATTCAGTCATTTTAAGACACTGAGGCAAAGATAAGGGCTTATGCAATGAATAATCCTTAGTGTGACAGTGAAAAGAATGAGGACTTGGCCCACAGCCATCCTCTCCATTCACTGCAACATGTTAAGCATCCTGAACTTGAAGGTAAGTAACAAATAATGTACATTACATGTAGTAATGTAACCATTTTTTTTTATCTAATGTACTTTCTTTTAACTGTCTGAACCTCACTTAGGTTCAGGCACTTCACAGAGCATCATCATTGATAATGTTAGGAAAGAAAAACTTTTATTACATTAAATTTTTTTAACTTTTTTGTAACTCTCTCAGAGGTCTGAAGAGTGAATCCTTTGTTTTTTCCATGTTTTTTAGTCCATATGTCACAAATCATTAGTGTACAGTTTTCAGAAATGTAACCTGTGTAAATCATGATTGTTCTCTGCCTTTAGAAATTGTCCAGTAATAAAATTTGCACAAAATTTTATTAATTTGACAGTTTTCCATTTTAAGTTTTTAATTACATTTTTTAATATCTTGCAGGTGTGGTTGTTTATTCAGTCAGAAGAAACAAGGATGAGGAAGGGCACCGATGCTGGATGACAGTGTTAGGACTGGATGATGGACGCTTGGCTGTCCATGCTTGTCAGAGACATTTTCCAGCAGGAGCACCAACACGCAATCATCCAGATCCTAACCCTAACTTATTTAACCCTATACCTAACCAGGTGTGGTAAATAGCATGACTTTCGATTTCTGACAAACTTGATTTTTTTTCTAGTTCCAATCTTAAATACCTCTATAAAGTACTTGCTTGTTACTCTGCTAGCCTCAGAACACATTTCTCCTATTTTCGTTCATTACTCTTATGTATTCTTCATTCCCATGATATTTTACATATAATTTTGATTAATTTATCTTAATGCAATTACTAATTGCCATTATTTAGGAAGACTCAGGTTATACATGCAGACAAAGCAGAAAAAGTGCTTCCTCAGTGCAAATTTATTGAATATTGTGCATTAAACAGATGAATGTTATTACAGGCCTTATGAATATCTTTCTTTAACTCTTCTAGTCATACTCTTGCTTGTCTTTTGCCATTTCTGTTGGTTGTTCTCCTACATCTGTACCATGCCCTGGCATGATAGTGGCTTTCTTTGTACTTAGCAAACCAAAATTGTAATTACACATTGTAACCTTTACAAAGAAATAACCCTTTATCTTTTTTTTATGCATGTTTCTTTCCTATCATATTGATTTTTGCCATTTTTTGTGTCAAATTGTTTGCTTAAAAAGACTAAGTCTGTGTAATAAGTTAAGTTTATTTAGGCACAGGTACACATAAGTAAATTACCTAGGATAACAAAAAAAAGTCAGACAAAGTGACTTATTTCCTTAGGGGTCCTTGTAATATCTTTTAATTTAAACCTTAAAAGTTAAAACAGCTAAGTAACTGTGAAAATCATTTACAGTAAAAGGGGATATGCTAGGAATAAGGCAAACTGAGTTATTTACATTAACATTAAAGAGAGGATCATCTTATAATAATAGGTATACGAATGTATACAAGACATCATGCTTCTCCCTTTCTGTAGCTTCATTTATTAAGTACCCTTTTGTTCTCTCCCTGAACTGGCTCGTGCTAGGACTGGCTTTGACATGTTCAGGCACTCCATTCCGCTCCTTTATTGCTGTATAATAAAAGGTGTTTGAGGCCTGACCACCTACTGTAGGCACTGCAGAACTCACAATAAAAGAAGGGGGGCATACAAAAGAAAATGCTTTAAAACCACTCTTATCTTGACATAAAACACAGATACACAGAATCAAGGCAGCTTAGACCGTTGTAGATTAATTAAGCCTTGTACTGTTGGGGGAAATGATTTGCAGAAAGAGCAATTTTTACATGTTGTACCCAGATTGTATAAAAGGTTATCACTGTCTGTTAAGAGTCAGAAATCTGTATATGCCTTTAAGTTTAAGCTGAAAGCAGATCCTTTTCTAGAATTTATGATCCTGATGATCATGCTGTCACTCTTGAATAAAAACTTCAGTAATCTTTTTATTGTAGTTGTATTTATGGTTTGATGTGAAAGTGCTTGCAGGTTTTTTGAAAGAACAGGCACTCAAGAATTATGAGACAGCAAATTATTGTTATTATTGTTGTTGTTGTTGTTATTATTATTATTATTATTATTATTTTTTTTTTTTTTCCCAACAAGTCGGCCATCTCTCACCAAGGCAGGGTGACCCAAAAAAGAAAGAAAATCCCCAAAAAGAAAATACTTTCATCATCATTCAACACTTTTGCCTCACTCACATATAATCACTGTTTTTGCAGAGGTGCTCAGAATACAACAGTTTAGAAGCATATACGTATAAAGATACACAACATATCCCTCCAAACTTCCAATATCCCAAACCCCTCCTTTAAAATGCAGGCATTGTACTTCCCATTTCCAGGACTCAAGTCCGGCTATATAAAAATAACCGGTTTCCCTGAATCCCTTCACTAAATATTACCCTGCTAACACTCCAACAGCTCGTCAGGTCCCAAATACCATTCATCTCCATTCACTCCTATCTAACACGCTCATGCACGCTTGCTGGAAGTCCAAGCCCCTCGCCCACAAAACCTGCTTTACCCCCTCCCTCCAACCTTTACGAGGATGACCCATACCCTGCCTTCCTTACCCTACAGATTTATACACTCTCCATGTCATTCTACTTTGATCCATTCTCTCTAAATGACCAAACCACCTCAGCAACCCCTCTTCAGCCCTCTGACTAATACTTTTATTAACTCCACACCTTCTCCGAATTTCCACACTCCAAATTTTCTGCATAATATTCACACCACACATTGCCCTTAGACAGGACATCTCCACTGCCTCCAACCGCCTCCTCACTGCAGCATTTACAACCCAAGCTTCACACCCATATAAGAGTGTTGGTACTACTAAATATGTATTACTTATTACCAAACCTCTTTCTACACTGGAACCTCAGATTTACCTACTACTCCCTCCACAACATTTTTACTCACTTTAGCATTGAAATCCCCAACCACAAGTACTCTCACATTGGTTCAAAACTCTCCATGCATTCACTCTCTTCTCCAGGTGTATATACGCTGCTTACTATAACCCACTTTTCACATCCAATCTTTATTTTACTCCACATAATCCTTGAATTAATACATTTATAGTCCCTCTTTTCCTGCCATAGCTTATCCTTCAACATTATTGCTACTCCTTCTTTAGCTCTAATTCTATTTGAAACCCCTGACCTAATCCCATTTATTCCTCTCCACTGAAACTCTCCCACCCCCTTCAGCTTTGTTTCACTTAAAGCCAGGACATCCAGCTTCTTCTCATTCATAACATCAACAATCATCTCTTTCTTATCATCCGCACAACATCCACGCACATTCAGACATCCCGCTTTGACAATTTTCTTATTATTATTCTCTTTAGTAATTATTACAGGAAAAGAGATTACTAGCCCTTTGTTCCTGCCATTTTAGTTGACTTTCACAACATGCATGGCTTACGGAGGAAAGATTCTTATTCCATTTCCCCATTATTATTATTATTATTATTATTATTATTATTATTATTATTATTATTATTATTATTATTATTATCATTATCATTTCTCTTTTGCACTCCCTTACCACTCTCTTTTACTCTCCATATACTCCACCCTCTTTATATCACTTCTGCTTTGTAAAAAACTCATATGCTAACTCTTACCACTTCCTTTTTCTTATCATTTTGCCAATCGCTCCTTTTTCCTCGTTCACCCACCTTCCTATATCCAGAAACTTCTGCTGCACACTCTAACACTGCATTCTTAAATCTACCCCATACGCCTTCAACCTCCTCATTACCTATACTCTCATTAGCCCATCTTTCTCCTAAGAGTTGCTTTTATCTTACCCTAACTACCTCTTCCTTTAGTTTATAAACTTTCACCTCTCTCTTACTCGCTGATGCCATTCTCCTTGTACCCCATCTACCTCTTTGTTCTAACTGTAACTGCAGCAAAATAATGATCTGATATATCTGTTGCCTCTCTATAAACATGCACATCTAAAAGTCTTTGCATTAATTGTTTATCCACCAGTACATAATCCATCAGACTATTGTCATTACGTCCTATTTCATATATCATGTATGTACTTATTTATCCACTTTCTTCTTGAAATATGTATTACCTATTACCAAACCTCTTTCGATACAAAGTTTATTCAATGAAAGGCCCCCCATTATCATTTACCCCTGGCACCCCAAACTTACCTACTATGCCCTCTACACCAGTTGCTCCTACTTTAGCATTTAGATCCTCCACCACAATTACTCTCACTTGGTTCAGACTCCCTAAACACTCAACTTCCCTTCCAATTTCTTCTGTATAGTGTTATTTATATAATGGCTGGCTACAGTATTTAGGATTCTTTGATTAACATTATAAGGAGCTAGCAAGCTAAGGAATGGTTATTTTCAGTTCATTCTGAAACACAGGAATCAGCCACGTAGCATAATGGAACTGTCTACTTTTATTCATTTTTGCAGTCAACACAAAATGGATGTTCATCTATAAGTTCAGGGTCAAATATTCTGCCAATCTTCAACACTTCAGCTGATGGGACACCACTTGGACCCAATGGTCAGCCTCTACCAGCTCCAGTTCAACCTCCTCCTGGCTCTGTTACTAAATTAGCTCCAAATGCTACACTTATTGACTTGAATAAGATTAAGAAGGACCATGATGGAGATAGACCATTTAGAATTGAGCAAGTTACTGTTCTTATTGATGAAACTGATGATGTGAAGGTCAGTATCATTTGCTTTTGTTAAATAAATCATGTTTTTCATATTAGATGTTGCTCTTATATTTTAGGTTCTGGGCTACTGCTGTAAAATGAAAATTGCTGTAAAGTGAACAGTCTAAAAAAAAGCACATACAGTACACACATTAATTACCTTAAAATGTTTTCATCCTTAGCTTACAGTAAGTGGTGAATATATTTATTGTAGAAAGCATGACTAAATGAAGAATGGATATAATTGAAACCCGCTGCATTAGTGAAGCACTGTAAAGCGGGGCCTGCCTGTATTACACTACAGTAATGCATATTCTTTCATAAGTAATGCATCTTTGAACTGAATGACATGTAGTACAAGTTTAACAGGTTAATCATTGTTTTGTGATTGTCCATTTAACTAACCTATTACTTTCTAAGGAAAAAAAAGTACAGTCATCCCTTTAAATTCAAAGGTTTCCTTATTTGCAGGTTTGAGTCCAATGTTTGTACTTTGTTTTCTCATTGGTGATCACATTGATCATTTTATACACAGCAACAATGACTTGCTCATTTCAAGTACAGTAAACCCTCAATTTAATGGACTAATAGGGAGGAGCAGGTAGCTGGTCTTGGCAGTTGTGGTGAACAGCAATGAGATTCTTTCCAACAATAATAATTAAAACACAATTCTATAATAATTTGACTTTCTCCATTATTTCTAAATCATTTGAAGTAGACTTTGTCCTGTATTTCTTAGGTCTGTTATATCAAGGGTTTACTGTATTCCTCATCCCTTTCATAGTCCGTGCCGTAGATCTACGGCTCTGAGTTGAGGGTCCAAACTGTAGATTTAAGCCATGAGCTCAGCTCACTCTCATAAACTGTGAGTGGTAAATTTGGGCCTAGATATGAGAGAATACATCTGTGTGGTATGTGTGCACCACATATAACAATTCCTGCAGCACACAGTGCATAATGAGAGAAAAAACTGAGTCCGTAATTTTTTATTAAAACAGCGACTTTGCAGTGTTTTTGTGTGTTTTTAATAGTTGTATTTGTGATTTCTTGCTCTCATTTGATAGAATGAAAGATATATTACAGAAATAGTGATGATTTTGATTGGTTTTAGTACTGGAAATGGTTGAAATTGAGCTCAAAGCAGAGGAAATGTTAAATTTTTGCCAATGTTCAAGAGTAAACAAATGACTTCACACGTCTAATATACACCAGCTGCTGGGTCTAATATATGTTCACAAATGTGGTGATATTATGTACACAGTTATTACAATATTGCATAACAGTAAATCTTATTTTTTGGTTTGAATAAAAATTCATTATGTGAATAAAAAATCAAAATGGAATTCATTTGTAAAGCTTCAAAACGTAACTAATGAACAGAGGAAATGTTAGTTTAGTGCCAGGAATGCTGCATTGTTTATTCTGGACCCTATTTTGAAACTGGAATATTTTGAACTTTGCGTTAAATTGGCCAAATTATCATTTTCCAATCACTTTATTTTGTAGTTGAAACAGTTGACGTGGTGTTACTTTTGCTCAGTCGATAGAATAGAAGTAATACTAGTGAAATAACTAAGAATTTGGTCAACTGGAATGGTGTAATTGGCCTAAAATAGGAGTCAGATTCGGCAAAATCGCCGATGCGTAAATATCGCCGACACATCAAAATTCGTGAAGCCTAATTTTGTCAGTTTTCCATCAAATTTCGTACTTTTTGTTTTATTACCTTCAGAAAAAGATTCTCTACCATTTCATAAGAAAAAATAACCATTTTTTTTTTTTTAAATTCTTGGACCTGGTGCACACTTTGAAATTTGGTCTCTGGACCCTGAAAGGGTTAAGCCTACTTATAAAAACATCCTCCAATTTTAGTTGCATCACAGCACGAAGGTGGAGAAAGGAGTATTGTTTGGATTATTCCTACATGCATATTGGATTTGTAGCCTGTTCTTCCTTGAAGAACACTCTTCATCCTTAATTGTAGAAAATGTGCCATAAGTCTTGGAAATAACGAGAAACATCAAAAAATTATGCTGACACAGTACATAGTTTTCTCTACACATAGCATCACCTTCCAATATCACAAAGATTTTAACCCCTTGTACTATCCATAGCCTCAAAACTAATGACCATAACACAGAAGAAGCTGGTATCTGTGAAAGTCTTTGCAACATATACAATGTGATTTATGTAGGAGAAAGTACAAGAAACTTTAGTAAACATTTTAACAAGAATAAATCTTCTTCTTTCAATGCACAAGCCGTATCCCACTGAGGCAGGGTGGCCCAAAAAGAAAAACAAAAGTTTCTCTTCTTAACTAGTAATATATACAGGAGAAGGGGTTACTAGCCCGTTGCTCCCGGCATTTTAGTCGCCTTTTACAACACGCATGGCTTATGGAGGAAGAATTCTGTTCCACTTCCCCATGGAGAACAAGAATATATATATGAAGCCCAAATTGATAATAGGAACAATTTGTGTGCCCACCATAGTAATTCACATAACAATATAAGTTAAATTTATTTAGGTACAGGCGCACATAAGTACAATTATTGTACATAGTAACAAATGTGTAAGGTACATGTAAATACAATTATTGTACATAGTAACAAATGTAGGTAGGTTTCAGAGTGGGTAGGGGATGTGTAGATCAAGTGTTTACATTGAAACATATATGTGAACAGTATTTAGATAAAGGTAGGGAAGTTTTTATTGCATTTATGGGTTTAGAAAAGGCATATGATAGAGTGGATAGGGGAGCAATGTGGCAGATGTTGCAAGTATATGGAATAGGTGGTAAGTTACTAAATGCTGTAAAGAGTTTTTATGAGGATAGTGAGGCTCAGGTTAGGGTGTGTAGAAGAGAGGGAGAATACTTCCCGGTAAAAGTAGGTCTTAGACAGGGATGTGTAATGTCACCATGGTTGTTTAATATATTTATAGATGGGGTTGTAAAAGAAGTAAATGCTAGGGTGTTCGGGAGAGGGGTGGGATTAAATTATGGGGAATCAAATACAAAATGGGAATTGACACAGTTACTTTTTGCTGATGATACTGTGCTTATGGGAGATTCTAAAGAAAAATTGCAAAGGTTAGTGGATGAGTTTGGGAGTGTGTGTAAAGGTAGAAAGTTGAAAGTGAACATAAAAAAGAGTAAGGTGATGAGGGTATCCAATGATTTAGATAAAGAAAAATTGGATATCAAATTGGGGAGGAGTATGGAAGAAGTGAATGTTTTCAGATACTTGGGAGTTGACGTGTCAGCAGATGGATTTATGAAGGATGAGGTTAATCATAGAATTGATGAGGGAAAAAAGGTGAGTGGTGCTTTGAGGTATATGTGGAGTCAAAAAACGTTATCTATGGAGGCAAAGAAGGGAATGTATGAAAGTATAGTAGTACCAACACTCTTATATGGGTGTGAAGCTTGGGTGGTAAATGCAGCAGCGAGGAGACGGTTGGAGGCAGTGGAGATGTCCTGTCTAAGGGCAATGTGTAGTGTAAATATTATGCAGAAAATTAGGAGTGTGGAAATTAGGAGAAGGTATGGAATTAATAAAAGTATTAGTCAGAGGGCTGAAGAGGGGTTATTGAGGTGGTTTGGCCATTTAGAGAGAATGGATCAAAGTAGAATGACATGGAGAGCATTTAAATCAGTAGGAGAAGGAAGGCGGGGTAGAGGTCATCCTCGAAAAGGTTGGAAGGAAGGGGTAAAGGAGGTTTTGTGGACGAGGGGCTTGGACTTCCAGCAGGCGCGCATGAGCGTGTTCGATAGGAGTGAATGGAGATGGATGATATTTGGGACCTGACAGTCTGTTGGAGTGTGAGCAGGGTAATATTTAGTGAAGGGATTCAGGGAAACCGGTTATTTTTGTATAGCCAGACTTGAGTCCTGGAAATGGGAAGTACAATGCCTGCACTCTAAAGGAGGGGTTTCGGGATATTAGCAGTTTGGAGGGATATGTTGTGTATCTTTATATGTATATGCTTCTAAACTGTTGTGTTCTGAGCACCTCTGCAAAAACAGTGATTATGTGTGAGTGAGGTGAAAGTGTTGAATGATGATGAAAGTATTTTCTTTTTGGGGATTTTCTTTCTTTTTGGGTCACCCTGCCTCAGTGGGAGACGGCCGACTTGTTGAAAAAAAAAATAACAAATGTGTAAATTACTTAAGTTATCCCCAAAAAGTCAGGCAAAGTGACTTACTTCCAATGGGGTCCTTGTAATAGTATCTTACTATTTAAAGCTTAGCTGTAAGATAACAGTAGAAATCAATTATGATAATAACCTTTAAAATTAAAACATCTAAGCAACTCAACTGTGTGGAAATAATTTCAAGTAAAAGGAGTCAAAATGGGAATAAGGCAAACTGGGTTATTTACAATAACATTAAAGCGAAAGGATCAGATTTCTTGTATAGCTAACATTCATTAGCTATGTAAGAAATTACTCTTCTCCCTTTCTGTAGCTTCATTCATTAGGTACCTTTTAGTTCTCTTCCTGAACTGGCTCATGCTAGGACTGGCTTTGACATGTTCAGGCAATCCATTCCACTCCTTTACTGCTGTATAATAAGAGGTGTTTGAGGTCTGCCACCTACAGTAAGTACATGTACTACAATATTCATAATAAAAGAAGAAGGGAAGGAATACCAAAGAAAATACTTTGAAACCACTCTCATCTTGACATAAAACACAGAACCAAACCAGCTTAGAAATGTTAAAGCTCTTATCAATACAGTTAATAAGCTAGGTATACCACCGTGAACTACCAACTACCAGTGCTGTTACTATCAGCTCATTGCTCAACATGCCAATGAGTCTCAAGATCTGCCTTCCATGGGACAATAGGCCAACTGCAATACTTTTTTTGTGAGGAAACACATGCCTATCTTCCTCTCGCCAGTCTGTAAATTGTGCTGTCACCAGGTATGATCTGTCAGACTTGTAAAGAAGTCTGCTGCAAAGGCAAAACATTATGTATACCTTGAGAGGGTTTTGGGGGTCAGTGCCCCTGTGGCCCAGTCTGTGACCAGGCCTGATGGTGGATTAGGGCCTGATCAACCAGGGGTTACTGTTGGCCACACATAAAATGATGTGCAAACTACAGCCCAGCTTGTCAGGTACTGACTAGGTGCCTATCCAAAGCCTTCTGGAAGACAGCCAAGGGTCTATTGGTAATTCCCCTTAGGTATGCTGGGAGGCAGTTGAACAGTCTTGGGCCCCTGACACTTATTGTATTGTCTCTTATCATGCTAGTGGCATCCTGCTTTTCATTGGGGGAATGTTGCATCATCTGCCGAGTCTTTTGCTTTCATAGGAAGTGATTTTCGTGTGCAAGTTTGGTACTAATCTCTCTAGGATTTTCCAAGTGTATATAATTATGTGCCTCTCCTACCTGCATTCCAGGGAGTACAGGTCGAGGAACTTCAAAAGTTCCCAGTAATTTAAATGTTGTAAATAAAGTTTCCAGCTCCTGCTTGTGTATCTTCATAAACCACAACAGAAAACTATGCTTCATAGGTAGTCGGATATGGTCCACGAGATCCCCTAAACATGTCCCCCGTCGAGCGAGTCCCGGGCCGTCTGGGAAGACCACGAAAAGTACAACCGCCTCCTCCACCACTGTGGGATGATGGAGGGGCCACTGATGGCTTAGAGGATGTAGCAACTGAGCCATCCTATCATCAGTTTGGTGATCCATCACTAGGCAATGCCTTAGAGCAGATGAGACAGCTACGCATTGACTGCAACACTGCACTTGTTGATATGGAAAAACGACAGATGGTTTACGTAGGTATAAATACTTAAATTTTGTAATTATTTTAAAGTCTGTCTCTAAATGTTGATTGTAGTGATAATGTATAGTAATTTATTTTCTCATATTAACCCGTAAACGGTCCAAACGTATGTATACGTTTTTTCAACATTTGAAAATGTGTAAAAAAACTTTGATCTATTTTTTTTTTTTGTTATATTTGAAAATATGTAAAAAAAACTTAGATCTACTTTTGTAGCACTACACATGTGAACGTAGATCTGTTTGGACCGTTTACGGGTTAACAGTTACTGGGGTATAGGGAAATATTATTGCCTAATTTCTCTAAATGCAGTGGTCAATGGAACAAGTAGTTTTAAAAAAAGAACCATTAGAATTTTTTTTTTTTTTTTTACACGTCAGCCATTTCCCACCAAGGCAGGGTGACCCAAAAAGAATTTTTAATAGTACATATTTAAATATAAGAGAAGTACTAGTTTTGTCATATTTTTTCTTCATATGGTATATTTATGTATTATCCTGCATTTTTGTTTTATTGTGAAATTTTGCAAAACAACAAAAACCACTTTTTTTTCTAAATTTCACATAATTGTGTCAAAACTAGATAATATTTCATACATTTTAAAAAGCCGTGGTTATGGAGAGCATTTTTGGCTGACTAAAAGTGGGACTTTAAACTACTTCGCATTGTATATTTCTTTTTTGGGTCACCCTGCTTCTGTATTGAAAAAAAAATTTATTACTTCTGGGTTAGGTTTAATATAAAGTTATTTAAAGATAAGATTATTAAGTGTAATGATTATTTTCAGTAACAGGACTGGATTGACAGTTTTGTTATATTAATTATTGGGATGGGTAGAAATATATTGGTCACAAAAAGTGCATGAGAATGAATGCTGACTAGACCCTGGATAAGATATACTGTACTGCACTTGACATTTATATTTGATCTTTATAAATGTACATTAGCCCTTACACTATAGCATACCTGGAAAAAAAGTCCTGTGTGTATGCATGTATTGGGGAAGATTTTTAACCCTTTGACTTTCGGTCGTATATATACGTCTTACAAGGTACCGTGTTTGACGTATATATACTCCTAAATTCTAGCGGCTTCAAATCAAGCAGGAGAAAGCTGGTAGGCCCACATGTGAGAGAATGGGTCTGTGTGATCAGTGTGCAAAGTATAAAAAAAATCCTGGAGCACGCAGTGCATAATGAGAGAAAAAAAAACTCCGACCGTTTTTTTTTTAATTAAAATGCCGACTTTGTGGACTATTTTGTATTCTCATTTTCTTGGTCTCATTTGATAGAATGGAAAACATATTATAGAAATAGAGGTGATTTCGATTGGTTTTACTATAAAAAGAAGCTGGAAATGGAGCTCAAATTAGGGGAAATGTTTGATTTTTGCCGATGTTCAAAAGTAAACAAATGATGTCATTGTCCAATAAATGTCCAACTAGCCATTCTAATATGCAGTCATGAATGAGTTGATGTTATTTATACAATTATTACAGTATTGCAGTAGTCTGCATAACAGTAAATCTTCTACTTTTTGTTTGAATAAAAATTCAAAATAGAAAGCAAGAGAATATCAGAGGGGCCTGGAGACATGACTGATGAACAAAGAAAATGTTATTTTAGAGCCAGGAATGTTTGCATTGTTCATTCTGGACCTTATTTTGAAATTGTCATATTTTTTAATTTTCGTGAAATTGGCCAAATTGCAAATTTCTGACCATGTTATTGGGTAGTTGAAATTGGTAAATGAGCAGTTTCTTGTACTCAATCGATAGAAAAAATGGAGTTCTAAAGAAATAGCTATGAGTTTCGTCGACTGGAACAATGGAATTAGCTGAAAATAGGGCTCAAAGTGGGTGAAATAGCCGATTTGTAAATATCACCGAGGTCGCTAACTTCGCGAGAGCGTAATTCCATCAGTTTTCCATCAAATTTTGTTTTTTTTGGTGTCATTACAATCGGGAAAAGATTCTCTATCATTTCATAGTTTTTTTTTTTAAATTTTGCGACACCAGGAGACACCTCAGGATTGGGGGTTGTGACAGTCAAGGGGTTAAAAAAAAAAATTTTCTTATATAATGAAAGGGTGCTTTTTTTTTTTAATTGAATAAGATTAAAAGGAGTCAAATCTGATAAAAACTTAAGATTTTATGGTGTGTTGAAGTTGGCGAGAAATGATCATTTGTCAGCAGCAGTAGCATAAATGTGCCAGTGATAAACAGTTTGTACACTAGTTTCTTTAGATATTGATTGTGTTTAAAGATGCTTTAGCACTTCAAACATGGGAAAAGGCTTAGCCCGACATTGCTTGACTTAGAATATACTTTTATTACTTTGATTTTCTAACACTATGTACAAGTAATACTTATAATATTTCAATTGTTTCAGAACATAGAAATAAGTTACATTGTTTGACCACATTAGATTATCCTAGATTAATTATTTATTTTACAGTATATATATATAGTGTTGGAGTGGTTGGTACTTTTGTTTAATAAATGTATGAAAGAGGGGAAGGTACCTAGGGATTGGCGGAGAGCATGTATAGTCCCTTTATATAAAGGGAAAGGGGACAAAAGAGAGTGTAAAAATTATAGAGGAATAAGTTTACTGAGTATACCAGGAAAAGTATACGGTAGGGTTATAATTGAAAGAATTAGAGGTAAGACAGAATGTAGGATTGCGGATGAGCAGGGAGGCTTCAGAGTGGGTAGGGGATGTGTAGATCAAGTGTTTTACATTGAAGCATATATGTGAACAGTATTTAGATAAATTTAGGGAAGTTTTTATTGCATTTATGGATTTAGAAAAGGCATATGATAGAGTGGATAGGGGAGCAATGTGGCAGATGTTGCAAGTATATGGAATAGGTGGTAAGTTACTAAATGCTGTAAAGAGTTTTTATGAGGATAGTGAGGCTCAGGTTAGGGTGTGTAGAAGAGACGGAGAATACTTCCCGGTAAAAGTAGGTCTTAGACAGGGATGTGTAATGTCACCATGGTTGTTTAATATATTTATAGATGGGGTTGTAAAAGAAGTAAATGCTAGGGTGTTCGGGAGAGGGGTAGGATTAAATTATGGGGAATCAAATTCAAAATGGGAATTGACACAGTTACTTTTTGCTGATGATACTGTGCTTATGGGAGATTCTAAAGAAAAATTGCAAAGGTTAGTGGATGAGTTTGAGAATGTGTAAAGGCAGAAAGTTGAAAGTGAACATAGAAAAGAGTAAGGTGATGAGTGTATCTAATATAAGAGTTTTTATGAGGATAGTGAGGCTCAGGTTAGGGTGTGTAGAAGAGACGGAGAATACTTCCCGGTAAAAGTAGGTCTTAGACAGGGATGTGTAATGTCACCATGGTTGTTTAATATATTTATAGATGGGGTTGTAAAAGAAGTAAATGCTAGGGTGTTCGGGAGAGGGGTAGGATTAAATTATGGGGAATCAAATTCAAAATGGGAATTGACACAGTTACTTTTTGCTGATGATACTGTGCTTATGGGAGATTCTAAAGAAAAATTGCAAAGGTTAGTGGATGAGTTTGAGAATGTGTAAAGGCAGAAAGTTGAAAGTGAACATAGAAAAGAGTAAGGTGATGAGTGTATCTAATGATTTAGATAAAGAAAAATTGGATATCAAATTGGGGAGGAGGAGTATGGAAGAAGTGAATGTTTTCAGATACTTGGGAGTTGACGTGTCGGCGGATGGATTTATGAAGGATGAGGTTAATCATAGAACTGATGAGGGAAAAAAGGTGAGTGGTGCATTGAGGTATATGTGGAGTCAAAAAACATTATCTATGGAGGCAAAGAAGGGAATGTATGAAAGTATAGTAGTACCAACACTCTTATATGGATGTGAAGCTTGGGTGGTAAATGCAGCAGCGAGGAGACGGTTGGAGGCAGTGGAGATGTCCTGTCTAAGGGCAATGTGTGGTGTAAATATTATGCAGAAAATTTGGAGTGTGGAAATTAGGAGAAGGTGTGGAGTTAATAAAAGCATTAGTCAGAGGGCAGAAGAGGGGTTGTTGAGGTGGTATGGTCATTTAGAGAGAATGGATCAAAGTAGAATGACATGGAAAGCATATAAATCTATAGGGGAAGGAAGGAGGGGTAGGGGTCGTCCTCGAAAGGGTTGGAAAGAGGGGGTAAAGGAGGTTTTGTGGGCTAGGGGCTTGGACTTCCAGCAAGCGTGCATGAGTGTATTAGATAGGAGTGAATGGAGGTGAATGATACTTGGGACCTGACAATCTGTTGGAGTGTGAGCAGGGTAATATTTAGTGAAGGGATTCAGGGAAACCGGTTATTTTCATATAGTCGGACTTGAGTCCTGGAAATGGGAAGTACAATGCCTGCACTTTAAAGGAGGGGTTTGGGATATTGGCAGTTTGGAGGGATATGTTGTGTATCTTTATACGTATATGCTTCTGAACTGTTGTATTCTGAGCACCTCTGCAAAAGCAGTGATAATGTGTGAGTGTGGTGAAAGTGTTGAATGATGATGAAAGTATTTTCTTTTTGGGGATTTTCTTTCTTTTTTGGGTCACCCTGCCTCGGTGGGAGACGGCCGACTTGTTGAAAAAAAAAAAAAAATATTTGTTCTTTCCAGACTAATGTAAAACATATATTTACAAAAAATCCTATATTACAATTGTTTTAAGGTTAAATCTACTTAGTATGCTTTGTGTCTGAACTTCACTGTTTGCTGGTAGGGAAGCTGGTGGTGGAACAACAGCTCCTGGTCTCATTGTTTACTGTTAGTTAGGCCTGGAATATACCCTCCTGGTACAATCCAGGCCCCTACAGTCTGGGCAGGCACATATTCATTGCCTGTGTAGCTAACCAAGGTGCACTGTGTGGACCCGCCACACAGTCAGTATATTCACCAGTCAGTACTACAATACCAACATCCTACTTTCTTTTCATTTCCCCATACCTTACCAATGGGCTTTGAGCTTAGGGCTCTACCTCAGCTATCCACTGCAAACCATTAATCGCACAACAAACTTAAATTTTGAGCAACACTATGTCCTTATTCTTGTCCCTTAATCTACTAAATATTAATGTCATACATATTTTATTTGATATCATGTGAATGATGGTGAAAGTGTTGAATAATGGTGGGAGACGGCTGTCATGTTGGAAAAAAAAATTATATTTCATATTTTATTTAATTCATATTCTGAGGGTTTGTAAACATTTTCTAAAGCCATTATTTTCTTCTCAGGCACATCGAGCTATCCTAGTTGCGCGTAGCCCTTATTTCTATCGACAGATGTACCTGCGTAGGAAGAAACTTAAATACCTGTACCAGTTTTGCCGCTTTACCCTTCCTATTGATGTGAATTTTGATGTTGTGGATGCTGTTGTATCATATATGTACACAGGTAAAGATATTTCAGATGTTCCTTTGTCTTATTGACTATAAAAGAATTAAAGCAAATATTTCTATTTAGTTTAATGCAAAGGAATTTTGAAATTTATTCTATATTTGTATACATTTTATAGTCAAAATCAAAGTAACTTGTAAAATATTTACAAATTTTTAGATGTGGCCTTTTTAATAATTTATGATAATTTTTTCAGTGTATTTATATTACTGGCCATAAGATAAGGGATGCACATTCACTACCAAAAATAAAATTGTTACGTAGTCCCAGGTATAAGTCGAGGGTGTATACTTTCGGTTCATTCAAATGGAAATTAATCAGTGCTCTCCTGCATCGGTAGTCAGCACATGCCATGCTTTCATCTCCTTCCTTTGCATCATTAATCATGGCTTAGGACAAGTAATATACTGTAATTTATTCCTCAGCTAAGGAACTTTGTACATTACCATTGTGTAATGTTAACTGTATCTTTAAATCCGTTGTCTTTTACTCTATAACAAAATATCTTAGCAGTTGTTTTAAAAAATTTGTATTACATGAAATTGAAGGCTTTATTTAAAATTACCAAAATTAACTTTAGCTCTCTCTTCAAAGGAGGTGCCTTGATGCTGGTGAATGGCTCTTCATCAAGAGAATTGGAGTTTATCCTCCTTTTCCTTGGACTGAATCTGTTTGCTTCCTATTCCCTAAATGAAATAAATAACTAAATAAATTTAGCTACTCTTGTTAAAATTCAGTGCAATGTTTTTCAATATTTTTACATTTGTGTTACTGTATGCACATTTTCTTTTGAGATTAAAATAAAATATAAACAGTTTTAGATATACATGTAACCAAGAAGATAAAGACTGCATAACATTTAATAATATTTAATCCAAATAACCAGGCTCAATGAGTACTCTTTGGGGAAAGGGTACTGCTTCCATCAGGAAAGTTCTCAACCTTTTTGAAATGAAAGAAGCCTTAGAACTGTATGATCAGGAAGTTGCTGGAAGAGAGGTAAAGTAATTCTATGATGTTAGTTATATATTTTTGTAATATTACAGCATAGTTACACAATACAGACTCTCCTCACTTAATAATGGAGTTCCATTCCTAAGACTTCGTCAGTAAACGAATTCATCGCTAACTGAGGAGCATACTATAATGGTAGTGGGTTTGTGTCAACTATCTTTGATATTGTTTTAATATCACCTTTGCACCCTTTATAACATTTCTGGTATGCTTTTAAATGTTTATACAGTAGTGTACTATATATTGTAATAAACAGAATAGGGGAAATCAGCTCTAATATATATTATTTAGGCATGCATACTGGTCAGAGAGCCTGTCATAAGGCCGAGGTGTTAGTAAACAAGTACGTCGCTAAGTGAGGAGAGGCTGTATATAATAGCAGTAAGCATTATATTAATAGCAATACTATAGTAGAAGTAATAATATACTGATAGTAATTGTATTTAATATATAATAGACTTGATAATGCAACATCACTAATAGTGCAAATAATAATAATAATTATAATATTACAAAAATAATAATTAACATTACGTATAATAATAATAAACAGTATTTTAACCCGTAAACAGTCCAGGCAGATCTACGTTCACATGCATAGTGCTCCAAAAGTAGATCTACATTTTTTTTTTACATATTTTCAAATATAACAAAAAAAAAGTAGATCAGAGTTTTTTACACGTTTTCAAATGTAAAAAAAAAAAAAAAGAAGAGCTACTTTTTTACATACTATTAAATGTTGAAAAAACGTATATGTATATACGTTTGGACCGTTTATGGGTTAAAGTCTGACCTTGGGCAAAATGTTGCATTGAGACGATCCTCTGCTACCAGTGTCTTGTTCCCAAACATTAGGATACTGAGGTAGTCATATTAACCCTTTCAGTGATCATCATGTAGAGCTGCGCTATTGAGGCCAGGGTCCCACGTGTAGTTTTACGTCATGAGCTCAACTCGCTCAGATAAAGTTGTGGATGATAAATTTTGCCAAGATATGAGAGAATTTGTTCTGTGCAGTGAGTATAGACAGTTTAAAACATCCTGCTCTACACAGTGCATAATGGGAAAAACAAAACTGACAGTGTGAGGCTGGAACCCATGGCAAGTGAGTCTTAAAACTCACAGGCCAGTGCATTAGCTACTCATCCTACTAGATACATTTCTGTACACCATAGGAAGATTAGCATGGGCACTACTGTGACCATAAATGCAGGTTTTTACAGATGAATCCCACATCAGTGTGGTTGTGACATACTCTAGCTCAAGTTTCCTCAAAGATGCCATCATGATTCACAAAATTGTAATAACACATTTGCAAATAAATCATAGAACTGTTGGGGCTTGAACCCATCTCTCTTGGGGAGCCAACACATTGGCCCTTTTTTTGCCTTTGTATTTTTGTATTCACTGTTGACTGTTTTATCTTAAGTATACATATAGAAGTTGTCATTTGCTGGATCTCTTGTCAGTCAGGCATTTCAAGCAATAAACCTAGAGACTCCTTTGTGTGTTTATTGGTTCAGAATCTTCTGATCACCGAGAGGCAGTAACCCTCTTCAGGCTGTTACCTGGTACTGTATTCATATATGAAATTGGCAGCTGTGTCAATGGTACATTGCAGTGGCATCCATCAAATTGTTTTCTCTAAAACATCATTTGGGTTTCTGGACATCCTCACCCTTTTATTTGCACTTGTTGGAGAATATTCTCTCAACTATGCACAGACTATACCAGAATCACAATGGTTATCTCATGGATAGATTGTTCTGTTTGTTAAAGAGTATATTTTCACCACCTCTTTAATTCATGTCTCTTAGATTAGTCTGTCAGCCCTCCTTCCTAGTAATGTAGTTCTATCTTTAATGCAGATATTGTCTATAGCTTTTTGTCAGCAGCTGCTTTGTTACATAATCTTTAATTACTATATTCTTGTCCAATCCTTCTTGTCCTCTTCCCTTTGTCCTTTGTGACCTAGACCTGCTACTCATTTCTTCTGATGTGTATTCTTAGCTGTAAATCACTGAATCACCCTCACATGTGTGGTAGTTTTCATGAATATTATGGTATTGGTATTCAAAATGTTGAATACTTTCTTTGCTGCTCTGTTCTAGGTACATGAAGAAATATCTCTGAAAGATGCTCTGCTATAATTACATGTATTTCTGTCACTAAATCAGGTCTCCCAAATTGGTAAAATTTTAAAACATTATAGGATGTGAGTGTGGGGGAGGTGCGTAGGGCATTGTGTAGAATGAAAGGGGGTAAAGCATTATTATAATTATTATTATAATCATGTGGGAGCAATAAACCAATAGGATTATATAGCACATGGGGGATGGAAGGCATTCAGGCTCAATTCAGGGAACTGGAGCTCAGATCAATTACCTAGATCAAGAGCCCCTCACCAGCATCAAGGAACCTCCTTTGAGGGGAGAGGGTAAAGCAGCTGGAACTGATGGGATCATGACAAAAATATTAAAAGCAGGGGAGGATTTTTTGTTTAATAAATGTATGAAAGAGGAGAAGGTACCTAGGGATTGGCGAGAGCTTGTATAGTTTTTTTATAAAAAGGGGAAGAGGGAAAAAAAGAGATTGAAAAAAATTATAGGGGAAAAAGTTTACTGAGAAACTGGGAAAAAGTGTAGGGTAGGTTTATTTTTGAAAAAAATTTAAAGAGGTAACGAGATAGGTTTTCGGATGAGCAAGGGGGTTTTAGGTGGGTAGGGATGTGAAGAAAAATGTTTACATTGAAGAATATATTTTTTTCTTTTTCAAAAAGTCGGCCTTTCCCCCACCGAGGCGGGGTGCCCCAAATAGAAAAAACCCCCAAAAAAAAAAATAGTCTTTCTCACATTCAAGATTTTAACCCTCACTCACACTAGCCCTGTTTTTGCAGAGGTGCCAAAATTAAAACAGCTGAAGAATATAGGTATAAAGATACACAAAATCCCCAAACTCCCATTATCCCGAACCCCCCCTTTTAAAGGGGGCAGGCTTGTACTTCCCTTTCCAGGCTCAAGTCCGGCTATGTAAAAAAACCCGGTTTCCCTAAATTTTTTTTTGTTTTTTCAACAAGTCGGTCGTTCCCCCCGGGGCAGGGTGCCCCAAAAAAAAAAAAAAGAAGAAAATCCCAAAAAAAAAATACTTTATCACATTAAAACCTTTCCCCACACTCACACATTATCACTGCTTTTGCAGAGGTGTCAGAATAAAACATTTTTGAAGCATATACGAAAAGGGGATACACACATACCCCTCCAAACTGCCAATTCCCAAACCCTCCTTTAAAGTGCGGGCATTGTTTTTCCCATTTCCAGGACTCAAGTCACTTTATGAAAAAAAACCGGTTTTCCTGAACCCCTTCACAAAATTTCCCCTGCTCACACTCCAACAGATTCAGGCCCCAAAGTATCATTCGTCTCCTTTCACCCCCATCTAACACGTCATGCACGCTTGCTGGAGCCCAAGCCCCTCCCCCCACAAAACCCCCTTCCCCCCTTTTTCCAAAACCCTTTTTTCGGGGCCCCCCCTACCCTCTTTCCTTTCCCCTAAGATTTTTATGTTTTCCATGTCATTTACTTTGTCCATTCTCTTAAATGACCAAACCCCCCAACAACCCCTTTCTCCCCCTCTGATAATGCTTTTTTTAACTCCACCCCTTCCCCAAATTTCCACATCCGAATTTTCTGCATAATATTTACCCCAAACCATTGCCTTAGACGGGAATCTCCCTGCCCCCCACCGCCCCCGCTGCTGCATTTACCACCCAAGCTTCACATCCTTTAAAAGAGTTTTGGGTCTATATCTTTCAACATTCCCTTCTTTCCTCCATAGATAACGTTTTTTGACCCCATATACCTCAAGCACCACTCACCTTTTTTCCCTCTCATTCTATATTAACCCACCCTTATAAATCCCCCGCCGACACGTAAACTCCCAAGTATTGAAAACATTCCTTCTTCCATACTCTCCTCCCCAATTTGTACCCAAATTTTTTCTTTTTTAAAATTTTGATACCTCATCCCCTTACTCTTTTCTATGTTCATTTCAACTTTCTACCTTTACACCTTTCTCAAACTCTCCAAACTAACCTTTGAAATTTTTTTTTTAAAACTCCCTAAGCCAGTATCATAGAAAAAAGTAACTGTGTCAACCCTTTTTAAATTTTGTTTCCCCCAAAATTTTAATCCCCCCCTCTCCCGAAAACCCTAGATTTACTTTTTTTACAACCCCATCTATAAATATATTAAACAAACGGTGTTTACAACCCCTGTCTAAGACAAAATTTTACGGGAAGTTTCTCCCTCTTTCACAAAACCCAACCCTGAGCCTCACTATCCTCATAAAAGCTCTTTACAATTTGTAACACCCTATTCCATAACTTGCAACATCCCCCACTTGCCCTCTACCACTCATCATATGCCTTTTTCTAAATCCAAAAGCAAAAAAAACTTCCCTACCTTTTTCTAAATACTGTTCACATTTTTGTTCAATGTAAACATTGATTACACATCCCCTCCCACTCTAAAGCCTCCGCTGCCCAAATTCTACTTTCTGTCCCTCTAATTCTTTAAAATTTATAACCCTACTTTATATTTTCTGGTATACTCGTAAACTTATTCCTCTTAATTTTTACAATCTCTTTTGCCCCCTTTCCCCTTTTAAAAAGGGGGACTATCATGCTCCTGCCCCCCCCGGTCCCTTCCCTCTTTCATACATTTTATTAAAAAAATTCCAACCACCCCCAACACATATCCCCCCTGCTTTTCTTTCTTCATGCCCCCATCATTTCCCACTGTTTTACCCCTTTCATTTAGAAATCCTCACTTCCTCCCCCACATTTTCTTCTGCTTTTCTTCCCCCAAAAAAGGGGTTTATCCCCCCGGGCCCAGTGCTAAAAATTACCCCCCTCCCTTTTTCCCTTAACATTAAAATTTCCTAAAAATTTTCGCCATCCCCCCTATACCTCCCCCCCCCCTTACTAACTCCC